TGCGGTAGTAGTGTGCCTAATAACGCTGCATTTGGATAGGAGTGATTGCAACACGTCTGAGAGAAATACATGGCCCCGATCACTGAGCAGTTCACGAGGGGCGCCATGGCGGAGAACAAAGCTGCGTAGAATAAACGAGGAATCTTCTTTCGCTGTAGCGGAAGGTAATGCAGTGGTTTCGGCGTATCTTGTCAAGTGATTCACGGCGATGACAATCCAGTGGTTGCCAGGGCCAGTGCATGGCAGAGGCCCGTACAAGTCAGTGCCGATGCGATCAAATGGGTGGGCTGGGCTGGGAAGCGGCTGAAGAGGTGCTTTTGAGAGGTGCGAGACTGGTTTGCGTCGTTGGCAGGCGAGGCATGAGCGGATGTATTTGCAGACGAAGCTGTAAATTTTGCACCAATAATAGCGCAGATGAAGGTGCGTGTACGTCTTGAACATGCCACCGTGGTCACACTGAGGGTCATTGCGGAAAGCGGAGCACGTATCACGACGAAGTTGGTGGGGCACGACCAACAACCAAGTGCGGCCATCGTTGTGGTAGTTACGGTGGTATATAGTATCATCGCGGATAGCGTAACGCTGCACCTGACAGTGAAGCGCTCGTGGAGCCGGAGTGGTCAGGGGGCATGACAAAAAGTTTAATATCGTGGCGATCCAAGGGTCATTTAGTTGCTCCAAGGCCATGTACAAGATATCAAGTGGTGAAATATCATGATTATGACAAGATGCATTGTCATCTAAAATGAGTGGGAAGCGTGACAGGGCACAAGTATCAGAGTATTGTTGGCCAGATCGATATACGACATGGGTGTCTTATTCCTGGAGTCAGAGGGCCCATCAAGTGAGGCAACCTGATGGGTTCTTGAGGTTTGACAACCAACAGAGAGCGTGGTGATCTGTTACGACGTCAAAAGGACAACTGTAAAGATAGGGGCGAAACTTTTGTAGAGCCCATATGATGGTCAGGCACTCTTTTTTGCTTATGGTGTGATCGGTCTCAGGTTTTTTGAGAGCACTGCTAACATATTCAACCACGTATTCGGCGTTCGCATCGTCACGTTGTGCTAGCGCAGCACCAAGGCCGACACCGCTGGCATCAGTATGAATTTCTGTGCGTGCGCTCGGGGTGAAGTGCCGCAAAATTGGTGAAGATGTAAGCAAGTGTCGAAGTGTCCTAAACGCAGCGTCACAAGCTTCTGACCAGGTAGATAGCTCGTTGTCACCTAGGAGGAGTGCGTTGAGATGTGCAATAATAGTAGAAAAATTTCGAATGAAGCGCCGAAAATAACAGCATAGGCCAATGAAGGTGCGCAGTGCTTGCAGGTTAGTAGGCGTCGGAAACACGGATACGGCGCAAACTTTAGCAGGATCGGGAAAAAAGACTTTTTTGGAGACGACGCGTTAAGTATAAGTTAGTTTTCTAGCTGTGAATAGGCACTGTTTTCATGTTAAGCTGGAGACCGGCATTTCGGACACAGGTCAAAACTTGGTGCAACCATTGTAGAAGGGTCGGGAAATATGGCGATAACGCACTATCATCTAAATAGCAGACACAAGTGTGCCACTTTATGCCGCGTAAGATGCTGTTCATTATGCGTGGTAAGGTGGCGGGTGCGTTACAGAGACCGAATGGCCATACAGTGAATTCATACAACCCATATAGTGTTACAAACGCGGTTTTAGACCAGTCAATCTCAGTCATGGGCATTTGCCAGCAGCCATAGCGGAGATCGAAGAAAGAAAAGAACTCCGCTCCTTGCAAGCAGTCGAGTGCGTCACCAATTCGTGGCAACAGGTACACATCCTTTCGGGCAATCTTGTTCAGCCGGCGATAAACAACGCTAAATCGTACTGTGCCATCTTTCTTCCCAACAAAGACGACGGGTGATGCCCAGGGACTGTTGGAAGGTTGAATGACACCGCGTTTAAACATGTCATTGAATTTCTCATTGGTAAGGTGCCTTTCACTTACCGATTCTCGGTAGGGAAGCTGTCGAATTGGTGCATGGCTTCCGTAGTCGATAGAGAGGGAGAAATACCTTTATTGGGTTGAAAAAATAAAGAAGGGCTTTAGGAACTAGATGGGTGGGGTCACATTTCCAAGGCTCCACTTGCTTGCGCTGCCTGCCGGTCGCGGTCCAGGAGTGCTAGTTGCACCTCCGGGTCCGAGCTAGTGAGGAGTGCCTCTCACTGCTCCAAAGAGTTTTCCATTCTATACATACGCTGTAAGCGATCGAGTTCATTGGTCTGTTTGGCACAACTTCACGAGATTTAGTATGCGAAACAGTCGCTGTGTGGCCGATTGCTCTTGCTTGGTAGTCAACAGAGGAAAATAAATTGTCTAGCAAGCGAATTCGGTGTCGTTGTGTCGTCATTAGGTCGCTGGCTATAGCTGATGTGAAAGATCGTGGTAGCGGCCGAGGTGTTGATGTATCGAGAGTGGCCATATCAGTGGGGTTGTCAATGCTTTAGAATATCGAAGATGACACCAGCGGCTCGGCTTTGCCGAGGGTTTCTCGGTGGCGTAAAGTGATTGGCTCGGGCAGCGGATTGGTGATGTACATCACAGAGGCGCCTGAATAGAACTCGAGAACGGCAAACGGCAATGGCAGTGATCGACAGTGAACTAGAAGTGTAGACAGTGCAAAAAGCACTGAGCCGCCATCTTCAGAATCACAAGAGATAGACTCTAGAATAGTAGACTGGGCAGGCACAATGGTGTCGTCACAAACTGTGATTTCGCGACACGCGTGCTTTTCGTTGATGACGTATGTCGAAAACGGGAACAACTCGAGTGCAGTGCAGGCGCGATTGATGATCGCACGATGTGTCGAGAGAAAATCCTAACCAAATATGACGTCGTGAGAACAAGATGGCAACACAATGAATTTGATCACATAAAGAAAATTCTGGATGACGACACGGGCTGTGCAGGCACCGGATGGCTCGACGTGCTGTGCGTTGGTTGTATGAAGGGATAGTCCAAAAACAGGCATCGTGACTTTTCCAGTAGGGCGGCAAATGCGGGCCTCAATCGCTGAAAGAGCAGCGGCAGTGTCGACAAGGGCTAGCGTCCCTGTTCTTTTTATAGCAACTTCAATAACATTTTGGGGAGAAATTTGGGGCCTTATGTATTTTGCCGGAACCACAGTTCTCGCCCCATAAACGGCGCTACTTAGGGAAGCAGCAGTTGGAGCCTGATGGAGGGAAGGCGGGACTTCTTCGGCGACCAAGTCCCTGATAATATTTCGAAGAGTAAGCACCAACGGGCATTTCCACTGGTCGTGAACAAGCGGCATCAGCGAAAGCTGGCGAGCGACCTTTTCACGGACAAATTCCTCATCTGTAGCAGCAGAGATAAATTGTCAGGAGTAACAGCCGATCCCGACATTGAAATCGCCTGTAGACGAGAGTGGCGCGTCGCTGTGCGTTGTTTACGCAGCTCATCAAAACTTTTGCAAAGACTGACAGGTTCAGACATCGTGGACGGGTTCTTTGCCAGCAGCATCTTAAAGGCATCGTCTTCAATCCCTTTCAATATATGCCTGATTTTATCAGCAGCCTTTGCGACGTCAACGCGGTTACACAGGTCGACAACGTCTTCAATGCAGCTGGTGGATGTTTCACCATTCTGCTGCGCGCGGCCACGCAACCAGTTGCTCGGCTAGAAGCTTGCGAACAGCGGGACGCCTGAATACTTCCGTCACGTGCGTTTTGAAAGCAGCCCACGTCGGGAAGTCACGTAGGTTAATTCGATGCCACACGCTGGCGGCACCACTCAAATAAAATGACGCGTAGTTGAGCTTCACGGCGCCATCCCAGCGGTTGATCACGCTTACCCACTCGCATTCGGCGAGCCAGTTTTTAGCATCCACCTTTTCGGTACCAGCTCAAGATTGGTGGGTCGCGTTGACGCTATCGGCCAGGGTAGACCAATGCAACAACCAGGGCATCAGGTTGTTGCTGCGGTTGATTTGGTACTTCTTCCAGCATTGCAGAGGCTGGCTTGAGTTTCCGGCTGCGAAGTTCCAAGTTGTCGCTACCAAGCAGCTCTAGCACTGGTTACGGGGGTTTATTAAGGTACACAGCGACCGGGAGTATATGAGCAACAGCAGGCAAAGCTTGGCCAGGGAGCGAACAGCCGAGCAAGCCAGGCGATGGCAATGCACTTCCGCGTATGTCTTTATTCTTCATCACACGCTAGCCTTCTATTCCGAAGGGTCAATACGAGCGCGATGGCAAACTGCACGGCAGCAGGTAAATGGGGTCGGAAACAGTATTTGCACCACTGAATGCATTCGCAGCGAGATGCCTGCTTTATCTATCTGGCTGAGGTGTGCTCGGTAATGACAGGTAACGACGCAAAACAGGTGATCGCGGAAATCATGGCCGCAAAACTTACACGATGTAGCTCATGGCGTCATAAAGGGTTTGTTAGCGTTACAGGGGAAGTGATTCGTGTTCGGCCGCGTTCGCTGCTGTTTTGTGGAGAGAACGCACTTTTCGCATTTGCTTGCCAGATGAAATCGCTGTTTTCTACTGCAAGAAACATGTTCTCACTATGCTAAAGTAGTATGGAATGCCCTGCGAGTTGCATTTTCTGAGCTCCTAATTTGTATAGTCTCTTCATAACAAGACAGGTCTCATTGGTTCGGTTAACTGAGAGCGACATCAATCTTCAAGTCCACATAATCTGACCCTTAATGAAATATACCACAATTTGAATACGTTAGAAATACATAGAAGCGAGAAATCGCCTCAGTTTTCATTGTCTCGAATGCATTTAGAGCTGCTATATTTATGATAAAGCACCTGTATTACGTTTTATTATGTGCTGCGTTTTTGCTTTATTTAAAACATTCTTTATTATATTCAAGTTGCTTTTACATAGTTGGACATAGTTTTCTAGGTTTTCAGGGCTAGCCTTCACGCAAGCGCTCATTTCGAGCATCTAAGTCTCAGTTTTAACATCTCCTCGATTGTCGTTCTCACCCCAGATATGGACTACGTGGCATTGTCTTTCGCCTCGGAAGCCGCCCTTCCACTCCGCTTCGAGGTGCTACCGCAGTGGCTCAAGAGACTCGGCTACAGTACACACATGATAGGAAAGGTAAGCATATACGCAGGCATACTATGTGAGTGAATCAGAATGATGGTATAACACGACACTACTCATGTACGCGAACCAGCCTTGTAAGTGTTGCTGAATCTCAATTTATGTAGTGTTCATCTGTATAACACTACAGCACCTGCAAAGAACTGTTCGAACATCCTGTTCTCTTTCACACAAATCAAAAGTACATTGCTACATTAAATCGTGTTCTATGAAATACTATTCGAATGATCCCCTGTCACCTACTCGAATATTAAAGAACACTTGGCTGGAGGGAACTTGGGTGTTGGTGTTGGGCTTCTTATAGCAAAGGTTGCGCACTAGTGTATGGCTACGTTCCCACCATGATGGTATTTCAGAGAGGATAAATGTTAAAGCGTCAACATTAAAGCAATCTTAATCACAATCGCAATACAGGCTAAAAACAACTTCGTTTCCAAAAATTTTATTGTTTTCTCCGGCACTGGTCGTCAGCCATTGATTGTGAAAACTATGGCGCCCAGGAGTAGCCAGGCAAAGGCACCAGCCTTTTAGTAACCACGCCAATATTGCGCATCAGTTGTGTATTCTCAGGATCCTTATCAACAGTGTGAAAAGTTTTCCGGAGTAACTCAAGAGCTAACCCATTGGGGGCCTAAATTTGCTCTTCTGAAAGACGAAATGGGCGCAGAAGATTGCCGTAAAAAGCATGAGGGACGCTTCCCTTCTTGTGCAAAAAAAGTACCCATCCCTCTTTGTAACTGCACGAATTTTTGCACCATGTGCCAACAACCCATTAATTATTGCCTACATAAACCCGTTTTCTTTGGGACGATACCATAGGGTGGTGTTGTGTAGGGACTAGAGTACGTGTATGCTACTCAGCGGTTTTTATTTTTAATCCCACGTGTTTGCTGCAGATTTCTTCAAATGTATTTCCGAATCTGATGCTTAGATGTCAATGGAAAATCTTCACACAGTGCCTCTACACAATGCTACATTACCGCAAAAACAAATAACCACTTACTCCAATTTCATCAAGGCAGATGATGACATCATACTCGACTATCCTGTGTATGAACCAAGTTCCTCCGAACAGCTCACCGACGCTCCCGATAGTAACTAAGAGATTAGCTGGTAAACAATCAAATCAATTGTACTCTACTGCATTCACACCTATGTCCCTGTTCGTACAAAGAAGAAAAGCGGACGTAAGCCTTGGACTGCACTTGACGTATTCCCCGAAAAAAGAAAAGTTAAACGGCTTAGAAATACTTGAAAACGAATTCCCAGCCAACGTTCAAGAACAGGCTCAGACTAGCTGCAAAAATCATAAAAGCAAAGGTAAAAGCAGCTAAATACAGTTACCTCTGTAACACCCTCGGTACCTTTTTTTAAGTTGTCTCCACAAAATTTCTGAAATTACCTTTTGCCAAAAGCCAACCCCAGTTCTGAGTCGGCACGGGAAGATGAACATAGAGCAGACGTACTCAATGAGTACTTTCATCCATTTTGATAGCAGATGATAGTCACCCAGCACACCTTAAGCCTTCTTTCAACATATCTCTCGCACTTCTGAACATTGCCAGAAATGGTGTGTCATATTGTTTAAAATAGACAGTAAAAATGCCCTGAACAAGATAAAACTCCAAACGCCTTTCTCCACACATACGCCGACCAATTATCCCAATAGTTAGCAATCATCTATCGAAAATCTTTAACCACTCGCGCACTACCAAATGATTGGAAGATAGCAAAATACATTCCAGTCCACAAGTCAGCAAATAAACCGAACCATTTAACTTTAGGCCTATCTTCTTATGAGCACTTCGTCCACAAGCACTGCTTGAGGACATCATCGATAAACTGATTAACACTTACCTCGAGGAAAATAGCATTCAATCACGAGCACAGCATGGGTAGTATATCTCGAGTACTATAGGTCACCAAAACCAGACAGACCTTATCTTTCTCGAAATTTCAAAGGTGTTTGTTCACGTATCGCATCTAAAAAGAATATTAAGATTCGAACAGACATTAGGTGAAGTGCCCGTAAGTGGATGAATGAAAGACCATCTCTCGAACCGAATGGAATTTGTACAAGTTAACCGCAGCAGCTCTAAACTCACTCATGCCACGTATGGAATGCCCCAGGGTAGCGTTTTGGCTTATGCACTCTTTCTCATTTTTACAAATGATTTATCCACTGTCATTCCTGTAAACAAAACACTTTTTGCTAACGGCTCTATACTCTACAAAGAAATTACTTGTCTAGTTGATCCATATCAATTTAAATAATGCTCTGAAAACAGTTTCCGCATGATGTACCAACTGCCAAATGAGCCTTAGGTTAAAAAAGCAGTTCTGTAGGAATATTAAAAAAAACAACACGTATATAAGTTTTTCTACACCATAAATTATGACTCAGGAGCACTGGTTTCACAACACAAATATCTTTATCTAACGAATAACCACTGACCTTGAATGGGATTGTCATGTCAATAATTTCAACTGCAACAGCACTTGAGCGGCTCTTCTTTCTCAAGCGACGCCTTTTCAGGCACCACATGACTAAATTACTAGCTTATAATATAATCATTAGATCGGTGTTTCAATATACTACTCCAGCATAGACTACACCAATATAATATCCATTCTAGAGGGAGTACAATGGAAACCAAACAGATTCATTTTCAATAAAGAAACAGCTCACAGACTATCTCAGTGTTTTATTCAAATCGGCTGGACTACTTGGATGCGAGAATGATTTTATTGAAGTGCAAAAGAGAAAGTTACACTTCAGAAAGAGAGCACTAAAATCATTCACGCCTGGCGAGGTCTTCTTACCAAAAACAACAACAGTTTGCACTTAAGCAAACGCAACAAAAAAAACGGCAGCAATTGCAAAACTTACACAAAAAGTAGCGCTTCACGTATAGCTTTCAATACCTTAGAAAGGTAGAATAGCACTTCACAAATAGATATATAATCAAACGTATCATTGTCGACACCGAAAATACTGAACGCAAATATCAGGCAATATGCACTTAATGAAAGTGAAAAAAATATGAAAGAAGTGTGTGAAATATTTGGTGCGTGAATATTTTTTCCTGATTTGTGATTTCTTATTATTTCTTCTATATCATTGTTGTTGTTCAACACTGCCGTAATCTGGTAGTGCAACGTTTGCTAACAGTAGTCTGTCCATATTCTGTTATTCTTGTAGGTAACATGTCGGAATGTATAAGGCAGATGTTTTTGAGGGTCATGAAAAATTAGTACAATGGTAGCGTCATTCTTAAGTGATGCTTCTCAAAAAGCAAGGGCAAGGTTTTCAAGTCGTGTATGTTTAGTATAGCCAGTTTGCTCCAGTGTTCATTTCTACTGCCTCGATAACTCATATTAGTGATGGCACGAATGAATGTTTTGTAATAAAAATAGTGATTGCAAATTAAATTACGTAGAGCTTCCTCAAACTATTAGACAGTAATGCAGGTATGATTGCACAAGAGCGTTGTAGAGTTGTTTAAACCATAATAGCGACAAATTTCTGATTTTGCAGAGTAAACCAGTAGTACTCGGAACTTTTGAACACACATGATTACTGTTCTCTGTCCAATATAGCCTATCATTAAAATTACGCCTAAATTGTATAAAGTTCACGGCTGAAAGAATCCTATTGCGAAAAGCAATAATGGGATCATTGTCTGTGACGTTGTTTTTGGCCAAAATATTATGAACTTTGTCTTGTTTACTTTGAGCCCTATTCTACTTGCTCTAAGCCATGTAAACAATTCAGCCAGCCTCGTGTTTGCGTCGCTCGCTACTCAATCTATATCACATCAAGAAAAGAAAATATTTGTGTCATCTGCTTGCATAACCATTGAAGGAATGTGGACTGTATCTATATTATGCAAAGAATTGAAAAACGTGCTACGCTTGCACGGTTGAAATTGCTTCATCAACTAGTTCATAACTAGCTAATATTAACAGCTCTAAATACATCCCTATTGATGACACAAGGCTAACTAGACTGAAGCATTCATACAGCCTAAATGAACACCGCTAATATAATAATTGTTTTAAATACTCCTTCCCGCTAATCATAAGGCAATAGAAAAACTTACCTTTCGTGGTTATTAATACCTACTCAGAAACCACTTTTCAATCACTGCTTGAAAAGTACTCGCATGACACACAAACGTAGAACTACAAACATATTGCACCATTCCTTAATGATTAACATGGCCCTTTGTATTTCTACCGCTAACCACATGCCACCAACTACCATTGCCAAGTATGCCTTTTTTTGTACTTTTCCGGTAAAGCTTATTCACTTGTGACCGATTGTACAACCTAATCGTAATTGTATTGGTGTGTTATGATGTGTCTGTGTTTTGAAGTTTTGTTTCACAGTTTTGTGTAGATACTCTGCATGTGTTACCTTTTATATTGAAAATTACATTGTCGTTAGCAAAAAAACTCCTCTGTTTTATTGCATGAATTCTCATTTGATAGTTTTTAAAACTTTGTTATACTTTTAGGTTGTGCCCTTCCTGCACCAGTCCCTAATAGAATGGGTAGTATGTACTAAATAAAATAAATGCATAATTAGGACATGCTTGCACGCACTTGAAACTGTTGGTTATGCCAACCAATATCTGTTTTTTTTTTCCTTCGCACGCAAGTAACTGCTCTTGTGATGAGGAGTAACCGCGAGGGGGGTGGAGTGATAGTTTGTTCCTTCGAAGTTAACCCCAAAAAGAGAAGAATGGCTGTGGCGGGTTGGTTAATCTCCTAAACAAGCAGCCTCAAAACCCCTATTCTCCCAATACAACCTTTCTCCTTTACTTCTTAGAGCATAGAGTAAGCGTTCCGAAAATAAACCTTCTCGTTTTCGCGCAGTGGCACCTTGGATACAAGACTTTAGATCACACACCCACTAGGCGTGGCTTTGACACCTTTTTCGGCTACTACAATGGTCTTCAATATTATTATAACCACACTGGAAAACAGGTGAGTACGTGTACCCTTCCAAAGCAACAGCGCATAATTCAAATTATTGTCCATTTTCTGTGGTAAACTGCCGATACCCTGGCGTTTCTTTCGTTTAACTATTTGCAGGTAATGCACGTTCAGCATTTCTAACATACGATCGTACAGATGATGTCGGTCAACTGCTATACACTGTTTATGATATGTATAGCTTTTACAAACGCAATGACTCTTGATTGAAAATTTGCAGAGGCCCTAAGGATTCACGCTTATATTCAAGCACGGTGTGTAGTAATATCCACACTGATTTTACTTGGGCACTATTTTGTAGTTGATGAAATATGACATTCTCAACGTGAGGACTTTTCCGTGTGAATTTGCCGCCGGAAGTTCTGAAGAAAGCACGTGAATGCGTTGGTCGGCGTTATACTTGCTTCAATCGTCCAACTTGGTGAAATAGAAATTTCAATAATATTCATTGTGGTCGCACGAATTTTTTTTTATTGAAGCGATGAATATAAAATATTGGTGCTGGTATGGTGGCGCCGGCTACACCTCGCTTAGCAGGTCCAAATTTGGCAATGCGATCTTGCGACTCGCCGGCACTAGGAGTTCTGCTTAATTTTTCTACATTAGCAGTTAAATCTATACTGCTAAAATAAGTTTTGACTGAACATACAACATGAACGCCAAATCTGTGACGAGCGTTCATGAGCCTGTCGACCACCTTGTGGTGGTACGAAATGACCGCACATTTTCTCAGCTTGTGTAGGTCAGCTACTTCACGAGATTATTTTTTCTGTTTCCACACCAGCTGTTCGCACACCAATGAAACCACAGAAAGAGCGAATCCTGGGTCCTGAAATCTTCGTACTTAATTTGAAAAAGCTCTCTTTATTTCGATGGGCACTAAGCGCGTGCGGGATCATGTCTATTTGGTTGTCTGGCTCTAAGTTGACGATTTTGTTGCTGATGAAAGTTGGCACTGCTTCTCCTTGCTTGGCATCCTGGAATGCAAGTAGCCGAAAGCGGCTTCCCCACCAATTTGACCCACGTAGGTTCCTGATCCTTGAAGTCCGAGGACGCTAGTGTCTCGCTGCAATTCTCCTACCCCTCTCCCCTTTATGCCGG